CATGGAATTTTCGGCAAAATAATACTATTAAGTTTAGCAAGAGTACAATAAAAATAATAAAAGAAAACAAAAGCAAATGCCTGCCCTCCCTTAACCAATTATTCGTCCACTGGTGTAATTGAAAAACAATTAGCAATATTTAAATGACAATTTAATTAAATCACATTGTATTGTCTCACATTCTCTCACACACAAGCTCTCCTACATATGTGTGTCTTTACCAACCTTGTTGGGTATTTATTTAATATATTGTATGTAGAAATTCAGTTACAAGCAAATCACTCATACGCACAGGTGTACCTGAAAATTTTAAACAATCCTCTAGCCAACACAACACATGCACTTGTACTTTCAATTGATTATATTTAGACAATACTCTATGTGTACCGTTATACATGAATTATTTATGTATTTATTTATTTATTCTCAGAGACTGCTTGTGATGTGATTAATGCTTATTTATTTGTGTAACTCAAATTGAAGCCTCATTTGTTTTTATCCACATGCTTGACTGCATTTGCTTGACAGAATGTGTGGAGCACAAGGAAAATTAGCAAGATAAGAGTTTTCAGGCGAAAAATAAAACCAAATACAAATTTTTATTTATTATTAAAAATGAAATTTGCTTAATTTGACTTTGAAGGTAGACCAAATGATTGATTAATTGGAATTAAGGGTGCGCTTGGTAGAATACAGGTAAGTTAAGAAACTGAAAAAAGTATCAACTAATTAAGTGATTAATTAAAACGATGGCCAAAGCCCTGCAAGTATAAGAATAAATAAATAATGTGGGGAAAAATTATTAAATAATCAAAAAAAATGCTGATCAGTTAATTAACTTATTAACCTAAATTGCAAATAATTATTTTGTCAATAGTAAGAACTAATTAATTAAATTATACTTAATATATATTAACTTTAATTAAATTAAGTAATCATTAGTTATTATATAATGATTTAGTTGTTAATAATTATGGAATTGTTTATTAAATAATTAAAAAAGTAAAAATTATTTCCAAAAATTTTCTAAAAAATCAAATCACCATTTTGAAAATTATATTATTCAACTAAAGTCTCATTAAAAATAGTGGAGAATTAAAAAAATATCCTTTTAATCTTACCAAGTGCTTCAAAGCTAATTAATTATGCAGCTAAAGGACAGATTTACCATTGAAGCCAGTGATTGAGCTGAACAAAATTTGCCGCAATAATGTAAACAACAACAAACAAATTGTTCTATGAAAATCTGGCATAAATTGATTTACAGTTGCAAGTCTGTCTCAGACTTATAGTATTTGTATTTGTATGCATAATTGTGTGAGGTTATGTGTGTGTGTGTGCGTTTGAATTTGTATAGTCATTATTTGATAAATTAGCTAACACAATGCCTGTATGTATGTATGTAGGCATTTATGTAAATGCGATTGTATGCAAATGTTTTGTAATTCGGCGCATGTAAGTGAAATGAATTGAAAATATTTAATCACCAAAGCGATAAATAAAATGAGTGGCTAAAGAAGAAGTCGAAAGCCAGCAGTGCGGGTGAGTAAGGTGGCGTAGGCGAGCTCGTAGCGCAGTCAAATACTATGAAATACCATTTTTCCTCACTATTGCACATTAACCCACTCACCACGTACCACTAACCCTTTCTTATTCATCATTACCTAGGCCATCGTGCACACTACTCCTTAACCTCTCCAACTCAATGCGAAATTCATTTATTATTCAATTTATGCAAACGCTTTCTTTGTGATTTTCTCGTGCTTCTTCTTTTTCTTCACCTACTATTTTTTGTCGTTTTCTTCTACTAGCAAATTGGCTTTTGTTTTCTCTACAAATATTTTATTTTTCTTTTATTTTTTTTTTTGTTTCTCCAAGGCCGCAGTTTGCTCGCCGCTTTTTGGTTATAATTATTGTCAAGCCTCGGTAATTTATGACTTCGACACATTCGCTGACACATAATAAATTTTCCATTTTTCGAATTTGCGTTCGAAGAGAAAATATTTTTCTGCATTATTAAATAGAAAAAAGAAAAAAAAAAAAACAAAAAGGCACCACAGAATAAGCTAAGCATAGAGGCGAAAGGGGTAGAGCTAAGCGTAGGCAGTGGAAAAAGAATTGAATTCCAAACAGCATAAAATTGCTACAAATCAATTGACAATTGATCTCAAATAAAACAAAATATAAAAAAAAAACTTCAATGGCGTAATTAAAGCTTAATGTAAGAAGGTGACGCAACCTCGCAGGCGAATAAAGTCTAAAGTATAATAATGGACGGAAAGCGATCAAAAAAATATGCTCGTTTTATTAATTATTTTACTTTATTTAGTTTAATTAAACTTGTTTACTTTGATTCAATGCATTTTATTTTACTTTGCTTTATTTAATTTTTTTAATTTTCATTTCATTTTATTTTATTTTATTTTAATAATTTTATTTTATTTTATTATATTTTTTTAATTTTTTTTATTTGATTTGATTTTATTTTATTTTATTTTGTTTCAATTTATTTTATTTTATTTTATTTTATTTTATTTTATTTTATTTTATTTTATTTTATTTTATTTTATTTTATTTTATTTTATTTTATTTTATTTTTTTTTTTAATATTTTTTCTGTATGATTTTATAAATTCCATAAATTGTATTTCACGCACATTTTCTTATTTCCTAAGCAAGTTGTTTTTCTCATCGTTGTGTTATCTTTTTTGTATTTATTTGTTAAAAATCGCTCTTTTGCTATCATAAGTCTCGTCAATTTCCTTCGCAACCTCAATTTTTCGGGAATTTCATATACAATTTCATTTTGATTGCTACATTTTAACACAAATTCTTGGAAAATAGTTGCTTATACTTTTTTGTATGTAATCATTCTTTCCCTTTCCACACATTCTCAGAGATTTTCCCCCGGCGAATTTACCGATTTATTGCCTACTATAATATTTTCGTTATAAAAATTTTTGATGCTTGATGCCTGCGGACTGTCAGATGGCTATGTATGTACATACAGACATACATATAAACATATAAAGTAAATAAGCATATATGCATGCGCAATAGTGGTCACACACATACACACATTCATTGGCACAATGCGTCCGCGCATCCAATCATGTGAAGAATAAACTTAATGGGTGAGTTGAAATCAATTTTCAATTTCTTGATTTGCTATTTATTTGCGGTCTGCCGTTGGAACTTTCGGCGCTGGGAGGCAAGTGTTTATAAAATAGGTATTTTATTTGTGGAATTTGGATGTTTCCGTTTTTTTTTTTTTCATTTTTTTATTATTACTTTTTTTATCTTTTTTTGACGTAAAAAGAATATTTTCATATTAAAGCTCTAGACTTTTGAAATTCCCTTTCACATTAAATTCAGATGGTCGCGATTTGGACTTCTTCCACCGATTTGAAGTTCCTTCAGTGTTATTGAAAATTTTAATATTGAAATTGAAATTCACTGAAATTTCGAATTTTAACTCAATTTCGAGCAAATAGCCAGAATTGAGCTTTACGCGGAATTTACCGCGAGCGGTGGAAGAAGAGAAAAGCTCGCCACCATTTCTGTATTTTCTTCTTCCTTAAATTTTGAGAAATTCACAAACAAACTTTGTTGCTGCGTAATGTTAGCTTACACCGACTTATGTAACTTACGAAATGTTTGTTTATTTTTGGAAAGTTGCGCGTAGTTGCTTTTATTCTTTTCGAACACAAATTCCTGCTTCGAAGTATGCATGATTATATTTGTGGGACTTTGGGGCTTTGTTTACTCAACTGTATCACTGTTCGTGTAATATATTTTGGTAATTACAAGTTACAAGTAAAAATTACAAGTTACAAGTAAAAATTACAAGCTTATTTTTATACGCTTCAAACTATTGTTTTTTACATTTATCCGTCGTTAACTGCCAAAATAATAGTTACAGGTAAAAGTTACAAGTGACAAGTTATGAGTTACAAGCATAAATTACAAGTAACATGGAAAATTAGCAAGTAAGAGAGAACAGGTTCCTTCAAAAACTCGACTTTCTTCAAACGCATACAATTGCAAGAACAGAAGTTACAAGTAAAAATTACAACTTACAAGTAAAAATTACAAGTTACAACTAAAAATTACAAGTTACAAGTAAAACTTACAAGTTACAAGTAAAACTTATATTAGCTTAAAAACATTTTTCACCATCTACCAAAATATTATGCAATAGAAAAATATTTTTACGTTTAATTGTCCGACTACCTTCTCGTAAGTATCTAAACCCAACCGTCTTATTATTTATTTATGCTCATAAGTCGACTTATCACTGATCTCTCATTGGGCCATAGAGAAACAGTTAATGGAGGTTTTAAGGCTTTGAACAACAATTATAAAGGAAATCTTGGAAGTCTTGTTGAGAAAGTATGTAAATTCTCTTAAGCTACTTTCGGGCATACATTTATCGAATTATTTTACATAGTCATTGTTTGTGTTTCACTGTAAGTTTCACTCTCTCTTTCCTCTATCCCTAAGTTTCTCAAACTGCACACATTCTTCAGTTTCTTTGCTTAGTTCATACTAAAATGCAATAATGTTTTCCCTAAATAATTAAATCATTATATCAAGTATTCAATTTTCCTATCCACGCGCTACTCATGTCTTCTGTCCCTCTCTCTCCCACTAACACACACACACCCACACACACATTCTAACAGTAGCCAAATTGAATACTTGAAAGGACACATTGTTTCGACCTTCTTCTTATTTTCTTTTTTTTTTTTTGTTAGTGGCAAATTAATAGATAAACTAAAGCGTGTGTCAATCCTACCCTGCCCCTTGGCACCACGTTCCACAAACAATGTAGGAAAGACATAAATGAAAGAATGCAATTCTCCAATTCAATCCAATCAAAGGACAATTCGTTGAAAGAACAAAATAATTATTTGTATGTTGATATTATGTATAAAGTATTCAAATTCGGTATACACATACATGTGTATGTAAATAAAATGTTTTTATTTATTTACTTACCTATTGTTGTAATTAATGTTAATGAATATAGAAACGCCGAGGCATAAGTCCACTTGTGTGTGGGTGGATTCATTTGTTCGCCCGGCTGTTGGATTTGTGATTGGCGTACGGCGCGTAGTAGAGTCTCCTGTGGGTAGAGAGTGGAGTGAGAAATAGAAAATGATTAAATAAAGTTAAGTAAGTGAAAAGCCGAAAAGAAGTAATTACACATTTAATGCGAAAAATGTCTTTGAGCATCTAAGGCTAACAATGAAAAGATTTTTGAAAATTATTTTATTTTATTTCATTTTATTTTATTTTATTTTAATTTATTTTATTTTATTTTATTTTATTTTATTTTATTTTATTTTATTTTATTTTATTTTATTTTATTTTATTTTATTTTATTTTATTTTATTTTATTTTATTTTATTTTATTTTAATTAATTCCATTTGAGTTTATTATTGCGATTAAATTTGTTTTAATTTTAAAGAGTTTCTAAATTACAAGTATTGTCTGTATATATATACTAGTACTCGTATATGTGCGCATAAATTGCTAAAAAAGCAGCGAAGCGAAAATAATGAAGTCCCGGGCAGGCCAGCAGAGTGTGCGTAAGCTCATAAAATGACAAAGAGTAAATATATACATACATATGTATGCTTGTGGTGCTATTAAATAAATTACAAAGTGAAAGAGGCAAGTAATTGTGCACGTCTACACACATTCACATATGTGTATGTGTGTGCGTATGTTTCTATGTAAGCCAGTTTTTTTTGTCGAACATTTTTCGCCAACTGGACATTTGAATAAATGAACTCGCCCAAACAAATGGTCACATTTCAAGTCGTTTTGGTCGTTTTGTTGGTTCGGAATAATAGAAATGGACAATGAATGTGTTAGAAGATTGAAAAACTCATGCTTATGCGAGCATGTGTATGTTTGTGTGTGTGTACCCGCTTCGTATGCATTCATGACTCAATCTGCATAAGAATTTTTCAAGTTGCTTTCAATTATTCGGCTTCTTCTTTTTTCGTATTTTTCTGCCTCATTTTTATGCTCCGCTCTTTACTTACATAATCACATTCAATCGGCATAACGGTAAATCGACAAATTGTCATGTCGGCATTTGGTGTGCGGACACTTACCTGAAAATGTTGCACCTCCTGTGCGGCGAGACGTGTCCAATTTTCTTTGTATAAAATATTCAAATCTTCTGTAATCGACCATAAACGATCCACAGTGCTGAAAGAAGAATGTGGAAAGAGATTAATAAACAAGTTGTGAAAGATGTGTGCAGTCGGGGTGATCTCGGAACTAGAAGAAAGGGTTATACTCATAAAAAGCAATAACACGTCTTAAGATGGCATAAAAACTACAGGCCCAACTTCAGGAAGACTAAACTAGAGTAAATAGCAAGGTTAGCTTAACAAAAGCTTACTCCCGAGAAAGAGAATAAGCTGGTAAACCAATCAAAATTGTCACAGTAAAACCAAAAATTAACCGACGTGCTATTACTGTCACACGAGGAGCGAGGAGTTATATTGCCTGGTACGATTTTGTAGCCTCGCCATAGTACTAGCACAGATCCTAGTAGTTGATGCAAAACTAACTGAGGACTCCGAAGTTTTACAACCCCGACCGTCATTCTTCAAGAGGAATATGCGGAGTTTCTGAAGTTCTCAAGCTGATCCAGCTCGAACCCACACTAACACTCTCATTCCTTCGCGCTCAATGTGGTCTACGGACATGCCAGCTCTAAGTAATCGGTCTCCAGTTATCACTACGTCCTTCGCTTGTCATACAAAGAAAAGTATTTGAGTCTACGTATAGTTCCCTAAATCATCCCTTGGTTTTTCAAGAGGAAAGTAATCGCATGGCGCCACCTCCGACCGGCCAGCTATCAAATTACCAAAAGGCAAGCGGTATCAAGTCTTTATCTCGCTGAAACTTGCGTTGTGCAGTTTCTGAGAACACACCATGTGACTTTGTTCTCTGCAGCGTGTGCCAGAATGAATTAAGCAAAACAGATCTAAATTTCAAAGCATCCAGTTACCTCAACCACAACAAACACTCGAGAGTGAAATCTGCGTTTGGGTCAATATGAGTTGGAAACGTTGTCGATTTTCATCTCAGATTTGAAACTTCTGCCACTATAGCAATGTCGAGAGGTTTCAATTGAAGTATTTTTAGTTTTGTCGGTTATGAATTTTGCCACATTACCATTTTTCATCTCAAATTTACAAGTTCTCCCCATTATGGCAATCAAAAGAGGTTCCAGTTAAGATTTTCTAGGAATATTCGTAAGTTTACACGTTACGAATTTTCTTTTCAGATTCGCAGCTAGTTTCACTATAGTAATTCCAAGAGATGTCGCTTCAAATAATCTATGAGTGACTTATTATGAATGTGCAATGTTGCCAATTTTCATCTCAAGTTAACAATTTCTGCTCCTATAATAATTCTGAGAGGCTCCATATACAAGTTTTTTAGAATTCATCCATTATGAGTTCACAGAGTGGCAAATTTTCGTCACGTCTTAGTGAAGACGTTAGTAGAAGTTTCTAGGCAAAAGCATTACCACGACCACAGCAGAGCATTTTTTATTCTTTAAGTTAAGCAGTCAAACTTCTGGATATTTCTGAACTCAGTCCAAATTGTTTGTTGTTTGAACAGTAGCTCGGTCATGTGGAGCTCTCCAAAGTTCATTAAGGGTTTCTAATCTATGGTGGAAAACGACTCAGTTATTTGGAACTCAATCCGAATTTTTTGATGACTCTGGTTTTGGTGTGAACTTGAGATCTTAATTCAAGTACCCTAGGCTACACTATAGTCTAGGTATTACTCGCCTACTGGTGAGAATTTGTGATATTGGTCCAAAATAGGCAACTTACGTCGAGTAAAGGGTACAGTTGAAAAATGAGTCCTTGGGTGCTTCTGTTTTCGATGTAAGCTGCAATTTTTCTCAATATTTTCTATGGTCAGAAAATTTACGAATTGGAATTCACTAAAAAAGAGATTTTAATTGGTGGAGCCCGTCGTGTACACTAACCAAAAGTCCCACCGAGAGCTCATCAGGCTCACTCGGACTCACAGTCAAATAACAAAAAAAAAATCCTCGTTCCCAAAAAAATCGTAGCTAAGAGATGGCCTTTAGACTCATACTTTTCAAAGAAAATTGCTCGCATCTAAAATGCAAAGCATGCAAACCAAATAAATACAATAACGTATGCCTCTAACGGTAAATTGCTGCAGGTGTCATTTGCCAATGGCACGTTTTTCACGCCAAATTTTTATGCAAAACTCACAACAATAAACCATAAAAAAACTATCAAAAGCCTGGCAAAGCCATAAAAAACATGAAAAAGTGGAAAATAAATAAAAAAAATAAAAAAAGTGAAATTAAAAAATGAATTGTAAAAAAGGGAAAAAACGAAAACCGAAAAAATACAAAATAATTATTAATTGAAAAAAAAAATCAAATAAAATAAAGTGTGAGCATGAGTTGGAGAGATAGGGAGCGTAAAAAAAAATTCTCATAAAATTAAGCTCAATTCGCATAAAAACGGCACAGGTACACACACACACACAAAGTAGGAGAAAGGAAAACCATTTTATAAATATAAAAATAAAATTTTGCGAAATATGTGCGACGTAGATACGTGAAAGTGTCAGAACAGCTGCACTACCGTTATGCGAAATGCTTAGGTGATTTTTGAGTGCACATATAATATATATATACATATTGTGTGTGCCTGCAGTGAGAAGAATAATGGGTCGCTAGTAATGCTTTTCTGAAATATCCAAAATAAAATATTGGAAAATAAAAGTTTATCATATTTGACCGTTTTTAAGTTTTTAAACATTTTAGAAAACTATGTATATTATTAAATTCAAGGAAAAATTTTCAACTTTTATTTTAGTGTAATTTATTTATTTGCCACAAATAAAATTTTTCAATTATATAAAATTGAAATTAAAAATTTTTTTAATTATTTTTTCTTAAATGACCTGTATAAACTTTTATAAAATAATTAAATTAATTTTTCTTTTATAAAATAACATTTTATTTTGTTTGAAAATACAAAAAAAGTTTTTCAAAACATTTCCAAAATTTTTTGTACATAATTTTTTTATACTTCAATTACATAAAAAATTGCGCTCGCTTTTTCTTAATAAACTGAAAATAAATATCGCTTTTTAATTTTTTTTATTTTTATTTTTTTTTTAATTAGTTTAAATGTCAAATGTAGACTAAAAAAAATTATCTAAAAAAAGCAAATAAATATTTTACTAGCAAATATTATTTTTGAAGTATTTAAAATAATTTAGTGGAAAAGGGTTCACTTTAATTTCCATTAGAATCGATTTTGCTATATTTTTTAATATTTTTAATAAAAAAAATTATTGATTTTAATTATTTAATTACTTATTTTCGCGAACCTGTGGTTCAATTAAATTTGTATATTAAAAAGTTTTATTTTTTTTTTAATTAATTAATTTTTTTTTTCATTTTTTTATATTAATTTTTAAGTTTTAGTAACCATTTTTACGACAATTACGGTTTAATGAAAAAAATAAAAAATAATAAATAGTTTTTCCTAACCAAATGTTTCTTATCTGCTTCACACCCCATGGACATACACGTACGTACCTCTATGCACTCGCATATCGCATAGAAATAAAAATTCACGAGTATTTCTAAACAAAATCGACCTGCTGGTGGACAATAAAAGGCTTGTATGCCAACTCCAGCGCAACAATTGCCAAACACACACGCGCACGCACACACACTCAAATGCATGGGTGGACAATGGCGTTGGGCGCTCATTAATATGCAATGCCTGCAGTTGCGGCTGCGTTTCGAGCAGGTGTATGTGTGCGTAGATAAATTTTCTTTGTTCCTGTAATTTACAAATTTTATTTACAATTGTTGTTGCTGTCTGTTTGTTATTTAGTTGCAAGACGTGCTTGAGTTCAGAAACTATTTCTTTAGAATTTTTTTGTATTTATTTCGATTTTTTTATATTTTTATTTCTTTTTTTCGAAAAAGTTTCTTTGTTATTCAAAATAGATTTCTTTCTTCTTAGTTATTCTAAGCGGCTTTTATTCCTGTCCATTTTTATTTCTCTGTGTTCAAATTTTATTTTATTATTCACAGTTTGTTGCATTTTTGTGGCCGATACTTATTTACCGTTGTAAAATTCACCGTTAGTTTTGCATAATAAATACATGCCAGAGATTTTTTCTTTTTTTTGTGTTTTTATATACAATTTTGTACGTCTTCTGCTTGTAATTGTTTCCCCTTTTTCTTGTGAGAAGGAAATTAAATGCAGTGAAGCGTAGAAAAATAAAATAGTAAAAAATAAAAAAATAAAATTAATTCCAAAAATGTAAAAATACTCTTGCTCAATTAAACAATCCATTGTTATTATCCATAAATAAAACTTTAAGCTCTTATATAAGTTTAGTAAAGCTACGATGCGCAAATAAGCACCGCTGGATTTGAAAATAGTTGTATGGGCACGGCAGCAATCGAATTGAAACAAAGCTTTCATTTTAACCCAAAGTTTCAGCAAAGCTCTGAGCAGATACTTTAAAACAGCGAAGCTTTGATGTCCATAAAAAGATACCGTCTAAATTTAATTTTGGTGTTCAACTCGAGTCTCTAATTTTTTCATTGACTCTAGCTCTATGTTGTTGTTGTTGTTGTAACCGCAAAAATATTCCCCAATGTACTTTTTGGGGAATGTGGCGGGAGTGACAGTCCTTGGCCGGATAAAAAATCCGGGTCGTTCTTCGCAGTTACAAGGAACTCAAACTCTCGTATGAGCTTTAAATTTCGTCTGGAAAAATTTTTTTGAAACGCAAAGCTTTGGGCTCTTAAAAAGTATAGAGAAACTTTAAAACCAACCTGTAAATAGACCACTAAGGCAGAGAGAAGAGAATTCTTTATAATGTTAAGAAGCTTTTATATGAGCTCTGTGTTTCATTTCAAATATTTAAAAAATTTAAGAGCAAAGCTTTAAGCTCTTCTATATGTAACTTTAGCCTTTTCATTAGCAGAAATGCCCTACTAAAGCTTTGAATATCTGACGGGAGCTGAAAGGGCTGAGATGAATGAATTTCATGTGATTTTGCGGAGTTTGTAGCTTTTGTGGAAGCTCTGTTTTGATTTTTCGCATTTCTAAATATTTAAATGAGCAAAGCTTTAAGCTCTTATGCATCAAAGTAAGTAAATATTT